GGAGGAGGAGGATGTCCGGCAAGGGCGGCCGGCGCAAAGAGCAGGGGAGAGTGACCTTCCCTCAACACCAGCAGCAACAGCAGCAGCAGCCGCGAGAAGAGGACGAGGACGACGACGACGACGAAGAGGAGGGAGAGGAGGAAGCGGACGGGACCGCGGAAGAGGAGCAGCCGCGGTTACGCCGGGGCTGGAGGGGGGTCAATGGGGGGCTAGAGCCCCCTCTGCACCCGGCGGTGAGGACCCAGAGAGAGAGGTGCGGCTACTACCCGCCCTCGCCAGTGATGGGCACCATGTAAGTTCTGCAGGGGCCCTCCTTACTTGCCTGCCTGCCTGCCTGGGCTGGGGTGGGGTGGGGTAGGGTCGCCTCGGCTCGGAGAAGGAGGCAAGGGAGCCGCCGTTGCCCTTCTGCCAAGGGGCTTGTGAGGACCTCAGGACTCAAAAGTTTGGGGCTTTTCCCTTATTTTTTGGCGTCCAGGCGAGCCCTCCATCAAGAGGGAGCTTTCCTGAGGGCAAACCATCCACTCCTGCTTCGCGTCCAACAGTCCACTGCCAGGAGGACAGTCTTACTAGGGAGGACACAGAGGGTGTGGAGAAAACTAGGGGCTTCAAACCAAGGAGATGCTAACACTAATGAGGACGGTCCTAGTCTGTATTAACACTGAGTTGAATGGATAGCTCAGTGATTTAGGTATCTGGCTCGGAAGCCAGCGGTTGGGAGTTTTGAGTCCCCACGGTGGTGGATAGCTCAGTGATTTAGGTATCTGGCTCGGAAGCCAGCCGTTGGGAGTTTGAGTCCCCACGGTGGATCCCAGAAGTGCCAGCCTGTGTGGCCTTGGACAAGCTGCACAGTCCCCGGATGCCCCCAGAAAAAGGGAATGGTAAATCACTTCGGAATACTCCCTAGGTAGCAGAAGGGAATGGTAAACCACTTCAGAATACTCCCTAGGTAGCAAACCCTGAAAAGGGTCGCCATGAATCAGAATTGACTTGATGGCACAAAAGTATTACATATTAACACTGATGTGATTGCTGTTGGACTAGGGTTGAGGAGTTCCAGTGCCCACTCAGGCATGGAAACTCACTGAGAGATGACACAAGGTATAATGTCTCTTATACTTTGAAAACTCTACTAGGGCCACCATAAAATCAGATGTTAACTTGATGACATGTAACAACAATAAATTAACATAAATAAGGATTGTCCTTGTTTGTACTACCGCTAATGAGAATTATCCTAATATAGAGTGAGTTGGACAGAGAATGATTTTGCTGCATCATAATTGGAAAGGGTGGCATATACAGGCATTCTTCATAAACATTTTCCCTTTTTGATTGTAACAGTTGGATATTACTGGTACTTTTTAGGGTTTTCTGTTCTGCTCGCTTTCCAAAGCACGATCCTCCTCTACTGCTATCAACAGGAGTCTGACTATTAATTTGAGTGGATATATGCTGAGTGTTTACACTAAGTGTTCAACTGGGGGGGGGGTGCCTTCATTAACAGCACTCCTGTACCATTCCTCTTTTATCTCCGGTTGTCTTGAAACTAATTGTGTCATATTTGCTGTTGATGTCTGCTTTGTCCTTTTAGAACTGCTGGACTCATTTTAAACACATTGCCTTAATAAACAACAGACTTCTACAATTAAACTTGTCCCTCTAGTATCCCAGCATGGAGGGAGGGAAGATCTTTCAGATGGATCACAAGGTACTGTAGTTGAGTTCAGCTCCTTCTGAAAAAAAAGGGGGGGAGGTAGTGTTAGTCAAGTGTTCAAATTTACTGCAGGAAAAGAACAGAAGATGTGGGACACATAGCAATAAAAGGAAGTTGTGAGATTGAAGATACTTTCAAGTGGCTCTTCCTCAGTGAAAAACAGCCAAAGGAGAACCACATAACTCTTTCAAAGGAAAAAAAACCTTGAAAAATTAGGAGATACATAGAACAAACAGAAATAAATTAGGATGGTTGAAACTATGCTGGTAACTTCAACACAATAGCTTCTCCTGCACCCCTGTCCCAGTTCTCTCCATAGTCAATATATATTAAGCAAGGATCCATACAGGGACGATCCTGGTGGCTGTATAGATTGCAATTAACTGGTGTTCTGAATTCACAGGTTTAGTCTCCTAATTTTTTGCACATGCAGATATTTGTGGACCAGTTGAAGGTCAATGTGTACCAACTGAATGACAAGAACATGAAGGAAATGGGGCACAAAGTAGAACGAAGATGTTGCAGAGACATGGTGAAGGCTAGCTGCCTTCTTGTGTGATCTCCTGTAAATAACAGTGATTGTTGAAAAAATGTTGGTCAGAATATACACTTAGAAATGTGGATGCCAAGAGCTGGAAAAGTAAAGCAGGCAAGCAGGAGCTGCATAGGCGGAAAGATGTGTGAGCCATTCTAATGAGATATTTTCTGATTATTCTTGAGGGTTGAAATGAGAGGTTATAAGAGGTCATCTGGTGTGATAAAAATGAATTTCCATTTCAACAGAGTTAAACGTGAAGCTAGAAAAATATTGAGGTCAGAGTTGGCCAGCATGAAGAAAGAGCAGGTGCCAAGTTTAATTTAAGCCAGGGGTCACTGAAGCCTAGGACATGGAAAATAATAATTTGAGAGGCTCTCTATAATTGAAAAAGGAGACTATGCCTTCCCTTGCTGCACTGAGTAACCAGATCAGGTTCCCCGACATGGAAGTCACAGAGAGTGGCTTCTGGAAGTGAAATCTCCAGAAATTTGCCAGGGTTAGATGCTTACTTCTCCCCTCTAGTTTTAATATACTAGATGGCAAGTGACTCTACGTATCTGCTCATGTCTACTATGCAAGTTACATGCAACCTAGTGGGATTTACTCTCAAATAAATGGCTGTAGGTTTGCAGCCATCATTTGTGGGTAGGTCCTTGTTAAGAAAGAAGGGACAAAGTAGAACCTTTGAAAATTGCTATGTACCATTTTCTCAACCCTACAACCTGCCAACCCCAATGAACATAAAACAAGTGGTTCTTCAGCACCCCCTGCAGCCCATCCTCACAAACCACTTCCTGAAAAGTCACCACTTCACTAACTGCTGTATATTCCTGCCTGATTAAAATACACACTTTTCCAAAGGTAGGTCATAAAACTGGGAGACTCTGTTGGGTAGCTGTGGCTGGCCTGTTATAAAGCCTAAAAAATACATTTCCTTCTTTGATTTGATTCAGTCTCAGGAGAGCTTTTATTCACACTTTCACTAAATATAAAATATTGATTTAGAGACATTTTAAATATCCAAGTAAGAAGGTTTTCTTTCTTTTCCTTAAGTTTGATACAGTTTATGGAAATATGAGACAGCAGCTCAGTCTAGCATGTTTTAATATCCTGCTGGATACATTTAATTGACATTGAAGGCATTTATTTAATAGAAACAGATGAGTCAGGGGTGTTTCTCTCAGACCACTGGAATAGCTGCTGAGAAGCTTCCTGAGTCAGTTCTGGTCTTGAAAGTTGGTGCAATCTGTTTCTTCTTTTGCTTGTATAAATAGATAAATCACATTTCTTTCAAGCTTTATTTTTATTTTTCGTGTGGCCAAATATATTTGTCAAAGGCAAGAATGTCATTTGGCAAAGAAGGAGAGAGGGAATTTAAAGGTACATTGCATGTGTCAGATTAACTCTTGATAATGAAATAATCAGTCTTTTTATCAGAACTACTAAAACATTTAAAACATTACTAAATATTTATTTTTTCTAGATTTACAATTCCAGCAAAATATCCTTAAAGGTCTTACAGTCTAATGGGTTTACCTTATGGTCATTTTTTCTAGATCTTGATAATAGTGTTTCTCTGAAGAAACGTATGGCAATATTGACATTCGTTATGTCATGCTGCACTGAATTTTCTTACCGATGCCCCATGGCATAGGAGGTACATAGGCCATACAATCTCTGTTGTGTGGTTGTATTATACTGTGATTCTAGCCTCTGTGTAGGTTTGATCAGTGAGACATTTCCATTTCATCTTCTGAAAACAAACTAATGGTACCAACTTTTTTTTGCATCTTTTTGAAAAGCTCTGTTTCATGTATTCTGAAAGTTTGAAGTCTCTGCTTTTGCTTTTTATCCAAATGGGTAATCTAGAGAGGCAGTCACAGGGTAAAAATTGTAGTTTGTTGAGGAAAGGACATTTTGGAAATCTCTCATTCATAAGGTTACCATAAGATGGAGTTGACTTTATGACATGTAACAACAGCAACAACAGTCCTCTCCCATCAGAACTAGATTTTAGGAGAAAATGTCTGATTTTGGAATATGCTTCCTGGGGAAAACTTTGAGCAGCACACTAAATATAAGCTCTGTCTTAGAATGGAAGACCCATCTCTTTTACAAAGGGCATATCCTTATTAGTGTGTGGGTGTGGTTTTCTTAGAGGTCTATTTGTTTGGGAGAAGTTAAGAACACAAGAAGGGCCCTGCTGGATCAGGCCAAGGCCCCATCTAGTCCAGCTTCCTGTATCTCACAGTGGCCCCACCAGATGCTTCTGGGAGTACACAAAACACCTAGATACCTGTCTCCTGATACCACTCCCCTGCATCTGGAATTTTGAAGTACTGTACAGTACCTTTCTTTTAAGCCTGGAGATTATACATCCCCATCATGGCTTGTAACCTGCGATGGACTTTTCCTAAATCTTGGTGAGTTCAAGGCACTTCATTGCTGTTGCCCGTTTGCTTTTTTTAAAAAACATAATGGTTTAAATATTTGACCCTAACTTGTTCAGTACAGGCAGACTTTCTTTTCCCATCACTAATATCTCTGTGCTTCTGCTTTTTAAAAGACAGGGAAGTTCCCAGAAGAAGAAAAACATGTGCTGTAAAACAAAAGGTTATGACTGAAACTGTACCCCTGCATTAGGAAAATCCAGCATATAGGTTACCCTTTTCCTTAGTGCACCCTTTCCATTGATGCACCCTTCTTGTACCTTTTTATAGTCTTGATTTCCTCCAATGTTGTTCTCCCCCCTGCATTATTCTCACAGCAACCATGTGAGACTGGAGAGGCTGAAAGAGTATGACTGAATCAAGGTCACCTAGTGAGCTTCACTGCTAATTGAGATTTCAATAAGGGCTTCTTAGCTCTAGTTCAGCACAGCAACCACTGTATCAGGCTGTCACCTATTTAGAGGAGTCTACTTCCCTTGCCTTTTGGTTATTCTGGAGCACCATCAGCATGTGAGAGGTACACAAGCTATGTACATCACTGACTGTCCCCACTGTAAGACTAGTACTAGTTCAACATCTGGTTGAGAGCA